TTGGGCGTCAATAGGGCGGGGACAGCACATGGGCTTAAACTCTCACGAATGAATCCTTTGTTGAGAAGGTCATTCACTTGCCTTTGGAGCTCAGCGTGCTCGGTAGGATTCATCCTATAATGTGGCAAATTTGGAAGGGAAGCGCCGGGGACGAAATCTATGGCATGTTGAATATCTCTTAGCGGAGGTAGATGATCAGGTAGGTCCTCCGGAAAGACATCTCGAAACTCCTGAAGGATCGATTGGACTTCCGCAGTATCCTCACTTGTGGAGTTAGATGAAACCTCCATGACTACTAAGGCGAACACAATTGAGTCACCAACAATTGTACGCTCAAACTCTGTAGGACTAATGATATGCAACCCCTTTTGTTCCACACTTTTCTTCGCTTCTAGTGAGCCAGCCGGCTTTGGGGGTAGTGGGTTAAGGTAAATTTTCTTTCCATTAAACACGAAGGAGCAGGAATTGGATCGACCATATATGGTTACATCTAGGTCAAATAGCCAAGGTCGTCCTAAGATGATGTGTCCGACGTCCATCGAAATAACGTCACACCATATATGGTCCTTATACTCCAGGAACTGGATAGGGACTAAACAACGCTCCTTAACAGCTATAGAGGAGGTGTCAACCCAGAGACACTATAAGGCTGGACAGCTATAGAGGAGGTGTCAACCCAAGAGACACTATAAGGCTGGGGGTGAGGAACTGGCTTCAACCCTAGACGGGATATAGTAGCCTTCGAAACCGCATTAATACAGCTGCCACTATCCACGATAACTTTACAGCCCTTGTTATTAATCTTGATGTAGGTGTGGAAGATGGCATGACGGCGCCAATCGTCGGCATCCTTAGGCTGGGTGAGGGTGCAACGGACGACACCGACTCTGGGTGTATGTGGGATAATGGGACTAGCCTGAATACAACCTAAGAAGGTATCCTCACTGCCCTCCAAGTCTTCAAACTCTTCTAACTTAGGCTCATAAATCTGATCCTCTAGTGGTTCGACGACTATATCCTCACGTTCGTCCAGAACTAGGGCTCGGCTAGGGCACTTAGAAACAATGTGAC